TAATCATCTTTTTAATGTCATACCTATAGGCAGATGCGTATAGCACAAATGGCACATGCCCTGGGCGCCTCTTGAAGGGGCACAGCTCCATGGCTCATTGAAAGTTCGTCGACCCACAGAGACAGCTGACTTTTTTTTCTCTTCCCAAACACATCTCACCACTTGGCTCTTAGCAACCATGAATGTTCTGGCCAGCATCCCGCCCAGCTCCTGGCAACCAGTCACACCCCAGGTTTCTGCCTGGCTCTTAGCACCCTGGGATGCTGTGGCTGGCGTCCAACACAGGTCCTGGCAACAAGTGACATCACTGTTTGCCAGGAGGTGGGTGGGATGCCAGGGGCACAATGTTTTGTAGATTCGCCTTTGCCAGTAAGCCATTCACAGCCTCTCCAAAGCCTGTGAGAAAAACTTCTAGGTAGACAACACCCTCCCCTTCCAACTTCCCACCTAGAAGACAGGACACAGCGGAAATTGGAAGCATGCCCCCAGCACAGCTCTGGTTCACTCAAAACTCATGCATGCATCCTGCACAACATTGAACTGAGCTGCTGTTGATACAGAGGAAAAGAGTGCTCACTGTGAAGCACGGGTTTTGAATGAGCCAGAGTGCTTATTTCCAAAGTGCTGGGGGCACACTTCCAATATCTGGCATGTCCTGGGAAAGTTTGGGAGAGGCTGCACACAGCCTTCAGGTATGCCATTGAAATTAAGCTTCTTTTAAGAAAAATGAAAGTGTTTTTTAATACCGGGGACACTGGAATACATGGGATATTATATGGTAAAGCTGAACTAACCCTTTAAATATTGTAATGATCAGTGATATCACAGCCTTTATAAATTATTTATAGGTGCTTAAATGCTCCACAATTATGTTCCATGAAATAATGGTGATCTTAAGAGGTGTATGTTGCAGAAACAATTAGCCCGAGCAATATGCACAGACAGCAGATTTCTGCAGCTCTTGACATTCTACACAGAGGTGCCCAGTCAAGATTTACCACTGTGTAAATCTAGCATGTTAACACTATTCCCACAGGGAAACAGGCTTCTTATTTTATTGCAATCACCTTATCAGCTATGGAACATCCATTTAGAAGTAATCCGATCTTGCGGTGTAAAATTGTAGGCCGTGTATTATTGCGTGTGTCACAGCAGTTAGTGGCATCTGGGGACAGTAAGGACACTCTAAAAGAGAACACATTGGACACTTTAAAGTCACTCTGTGTTTTAACACTCTACTGGGTTTAATAGAGCAACTGGGAAGTATTGAAAATGTTTGTAGATATGTTAGGCATTAAGATGTTATTGATGATGTAAACCTCGAGCTCATCTTATTAAACACCAGTCAAGGGTGACTTAACATTCTGCATCATTAACACACAAGACTTCCTGATATTCCTGGGGATGGGTAAATACATATTTATAGATGTCAGCAGAACTTGACATGATGTGAACTGCAGGCATTTTTTTTAGAAATTACTCATCACTTGCATTCAGGCCTGATTTTAATCATGGGCCCCTGTAGGCTGTTATAACTGTTCTGCGCCCAAAACAATGGACCTTACAAATCCAAAGTAGATATAGAGGCTTTCATGGGTCTTGCAGCAGAGATAAGTCAAAGCATCAGAATTTTATTGTCAATATTGCGATGGAGCTCAGTCCATCCTAATCAAGACATCTTGAGAAAGATGGACTGCGCTCCATCGAAACGTTGCCAATACAATGCTGATGCTTTCACTTATCTCCACCGCAAGACCCATGAGTGCCTCTATCTACTTTGAATCTGTATGGATATTTTTGTGGATGTGCACCCGGGCATTTTCCTTAACAAACAGAGTATGGGGGCAACCTTTGGGACTCTATAACCATGGACCTTTGTAGATGTACAGTTCAGTTTGAGTTGTATTGCAGAAACATCATCATTTTGTGTGTAATAACAAATAACCATGGACCTTTGTAGATGTACCGTTCAGTTTGAGTTGTATTGCAGAAACATCATCATTTTGTGTGTAATAACAAATAACCATGGACCTTTGTAGATGTACAGTTCAGTTTGAGTTGTATTGCAGAAACATCATCATTTTGTGTGTAATAACACGTGAGCATATTTTATCTTAACTGGTTTGCATAAGAAAACAAATATAATAATAACTCAATAAGCAGTCTGCTGCTGCTCTGACATTGTGCCAGTATGTAGTCTTTCCACTAGTCCTTATCAATTGAGGTTCAATGTAAAGTTATGCACTTGAGCCCTAAAAATATGCATGCAACATACTCATTGGGAGGGGCTCCATTGAGAGAATTGGTGATGGATTGCCATGCCAATCTACAGCTAATAAAAATTAGCCGAATACTCTCTTGTATTGAAAAGGGAAAATATTCAAGAGATAAATTCATAATTCTTTGCATTTATAAAACACAGGTTCAGCCTCATTTGAAAATGCAGTTCAGTTTTGGTCACCATCCCTCAGGAAGGATGTCCTTTGAAGGGCATCTATCCAAGGAGGATACCGACAACAGCTCCAACAGACAGAAGGTCCAATTCTTCTCCAAGATATAAAAAACTAGAAAATGTTATTGCTTAAAACTGTGTTTTCAAAATGAGTATTAAAAAGTATTAAAAACTCCTATAAACACAATCATTATTTGGTTGTTTCCTTTAAATAGAAAGAAAGTAGTAAATGTAATAATTGTCTTCTGTAATAATTGACTTTTTGACTTATTATTCTTGAAAAAAAAAACACTTGATTCCAATTTCCAATTTCATTTTCCAAAAAATGATCCGTAAAATAATTCCTTTAAAGTTTCAGATCAATGACAACTTTTTCTGTAAAGACACTTTTAGGGCCTATGTAAAATAACTTTTGTTCATATCAGCACTGATTTTCTCCCAAAATGAGTCAATGGAAATGTAAAAGCAGGTTGAAGCAGCGGTAGAAGGGGGTACAATGTGGGTCAGAAGGACGTGAATGATCTGAGAATCATCTCGTGCTGACCTCAGATACGAGCGGATACAAGCATGCTGCATTTGCCCAACACTTATGCTGTCCCCATGTCTCTAACTGTCAACTACACATGCAAAGACCTCTTATTTTCCTTCTCTGTGTGGCCACACATCCTCTGCATGTAATAGCAGGGTCAGTCAGTAGAAGGATAAAAAAAGTCAGCTCCTGTGAACAAATATAGGAATTACATTTTCTGTGTTCTTAATGTAACACACGCTATTAGTCTGCATTGCTTAAAATGTATCTAAACCCAAAAACAAATATGTAATACAGTAATACCTTGGTTTACGAGCATAATTCGTTCCGGAAGCATGCTTGTAATCCAAAGCGCTTGTATATCAAAGCGAATTTCCCCATAGGAAATAATGGAAATTCAGATGATTAGTTCCACAACCCAAAAATATTCATATAAAAATGATGACAATACTGTACTGTAATATAATACTGTACAAAATATAAAGAAAAATAAACCAATTACCAGTACCTTCGTGGCTGGTGTGAGGTGGACAAGAGAGGAGGATTATTGTGTAGGACAACTTTCACTATCACTAACAGAATCACTGCTATCTCTTGACTCAATGGAATCTTTTTAATTTCGTGAAACCTTAACAAGGAATCTATCCAATGTGACATTGCATTGTCGTTAAACAGACTCATCGCTCGCACTGCTACAGCCTTATTTGGTGGTGGTTTTCTACAAAATTTTGCTCTTATTGCAAGACATTGCTTGTATATCAAGGCAACATTTTTCAGAAATGCTTGCTTGTCTTGCAAAACACTCTCAAACCAAGTTACTTGTAAACCAAGGTATTATTGTATATTGCTCCTTACCAGTCCTTGTTGCTGTGGTGACTGAATCTGTTTTTTTCTCAAACATTTTTTTCCTTTATTTTCACCTGGTGATTCTACCAGTTACACCCTTTCTGTCCTAGGATGACAACACTCACTCACCCATCTTTATCAAGACAAAAGAAACATGACAGGATTGCGAAACCCTCATCTTTTTTTTATATTATAGAGAGGCGTTGTTCTGTAGTCCCCGAGATAGCTGAGAATAATGTAACTGATAACAGTCAGCAGAGGCAGAGAGTTAATGAAGCTACACGATTTCTGGCAAGAGCAACACATCTTTGTTTGAGTTTATCAAACTGATATTCTCTTCTCACAGTGGCCATTTTTACTAATGGCAGATGAATCCCTCTCCCTTTACTTCCTGGAACTCTTGCACATCTGACTAAGACACGTGACCATGCACATCATCTCAAGGGAAAAATGTCTTTCCCTGAGATCTCACAACATTTTGCAGTTTACAGATGATATTTTCCAGCAATGCACTGGTGATGTAACCTTCCCAGGATGCATCTTTTAGGCCCCATTCACACCTGACCGTTTTGTAGCGCGTCCTACGCTCGATGAACGCTCTACAAAACGGTCAAAAAATAAATAGCATTGTAGTCAATGGTATCGTTCCCACCTGTCCGTATTTCCGCCCGTCCCGAACGCACTACAAAACGGCCCACGCATGAAAAGGTCCCGGAGCGTTTTTTGCTGCGTATTGGTCCCTTTTGTAGGGCGTTTTCCATTTGTATACTGCCAAGTAGCCTTTGGAATCGCGCGACGGTCGCGCGACTTTTTTACCGCGAATCACGGTAAAAAAACCGCGTGACGGTCGCGCGACAGACGCGCATATTACAATACGCATAGGTGTGAATGGGGCCTAAGTCATGAGTTGCATCACTGATACCTAAGAGGACCAGGAAGCGGAAAAACAATAATTATAAGTAAAAGAAAAATATGTTTTTATAACATATGAATGTAAGATGATTTTATATCAGTATACAGGGCTGAATGCTGGTGTGATATTTAGTGAAAGGGGGTAAAGGTCCACTTTAAAGCATGGTTCATGGTTGAAACAGATCTTCATTTTAGACTTTTCATTCCAACTGGAGTTTACAGTTAAGTTGAATACTAAGACCAGTCATTTATGTTTTGCAGGCACTGTGGTTATATTAAAGCCAAGCAAGACCCAGATGAAGATAAGATGCATTTCCAGCATGGAAGAGGTAAGAACTGGCTATTCAATGACTCTACTTGGTCTCTGTAGAGTGTCTGGGCCCTCTGGCTGGCACTTTCCTAAATACAAATGTGTATTACCTTCAAGGACTATAAAGACTTGGCCGATGCTCTTCATTTTACCACAGGTTTTCCATACTGGCACAGTTTTTAGGTTCCATGGCAGATTAGAACAAAGCTTTTCTCGTTCTGGACTTACCAATACATCGTTTGGTGTTGCCAGTTTTTCATGTGAGCTATAGATTGAAAAATGAATATAAGTAGCTATATTTTTCTTTTTTTACCATTTATATAGTTGGTGCTGTGAACTTTAGTGAAAAAGTTCAACAAACTTGTATAAATTTGTACTCTTTTTAATACAACATGTAGATTTGTAGATACTGTAATGTTGTCAACAGCCGGCATGATGTATGTGTTTGTTCGATTAAATAATTGTTTGTATACATAGCTTACAGAACGTCTGCCACATTGCTTTATGTAACTTATCATGGTATGTTTTGTTTTTATGACCAAAAACTGCACAGGGCCTAATGTAACTGTTGTTATTTTTATGACTTTGTACTTTTGTATTGTTGTTTCCATGGTCATGCAAAAAACATAGTATACTTAGATACAGGGGAACACAAATGTATAGTACTATATGTATTATTCGCTGAATGACCCATGTTCCATTTGGATAAGTCAAACATTTATAAAACCAGCTCGTGGATAGAGGTTGTCGCTGTATCCATCGTACCTTGATGTTGTTGTACAGTAATTGTGAATAACATTAAACTACAAGGTCAAAGAGTCAGGAGTGGTGTAGTTTCTTTTTTAAATGCCTTTGTGTGGAGTGTGTGCAATTCTTGCTTGCCATGTATCTTGTCATCAGATAATGGGATGCCCAGAAATCTATATAACTTCTCCTATGTTATCCCCTGTGAAACTCACATGTAAGCTGAGGCACATTAGATTCTTCTATCCTTCCACTATCATGGTTTGCAAACAAAGGGCTCAAGATTAAGTTAAATATGTGATTCTTTAATCATTAAATCATAATGAGTTTATTAATTCTAAAATCAGTAAAGTAGAATTTTGCCTTTCCATGAATACACTTACAGTTTTCTCTTAGTCCCCTTGCAAAGTCTCACAAATACCAGTTGATTTTGCAAGTAAAGTCCACACTGTGTAGCTTCATTTGATGTGGTGACAATGCTGCTGCACTGCTCCTGAATGCAGAACAACATTGTCGCCCCCATGTAGGCTGTGTCTGCTTGCACTGGAGTGGAATGGAAAGATGTTGCCAGGGGCGTGGCTATCTGCATTTTCACAGTTGATTGACAACTCTGCAGCTTGTCAATCAGCACCTGGCCACACCTAGCCGTGCCCATTGATTGATTGGCAGAACTGCCTCTGCAGCTGAAACATATGAGTTGCGTGTTTAAGGAGGGGAATGTGAGGCACAAAAAACGTTTTGGTTTTTTTTACTTTATGAGTCTTGTGCATCACATAATTTATCTGCATATTTATGTGTTTATAACAATTGCTTTATGGGTGGCAGCCAATCAGATCTGCCAAAGCAAATCTGGTATTCTAAAGGGCCTTTCTTGTGCACATTCCAGCTACATTCTAAACTACATGCCACTAGGCTAGTTTGAGATTGTGCATTTTAATATATTTTCCCTTTTTATAAATCAGTTCAACTGTGATCTTTAATGAGTGTTTAAAATCAAACTGTAAGCATATGGACAGTGATAGTCTTTTAACATGAAATTGTGTAACTGCCTTTGTGGTTGACGTCCATTAATAATCTGTTTAGTGTTTTGTTCGCTACAAGAGCAAATGGTATGTTTAGAAACAAAACTATAAGATTTGTTTGTTAAAAAAGGTACTTCAAATATCTCCTGGTACTTATTTCGTAGTTAAACAAAAATTGAGTAAGTATACTAGTATAGCAAAGAAAATAAATAAGTGTGTATATAAATAAATGTAACAAGATGTAAAACAAATTAAATATATTCCCAAATAAAGGAAATGTTCCTGTTACAGCAACAGCGCCAGGCCACCTACAGAGTGTGAAAATGGTGCAATATTAATAATTATAATCGATCCCACAGTGACACTAAACTCAAGAGTTAAATCTTAAAAAATGCATTCAAGTACCTTAACTATTAACAAAAATATTTGTGTATCACTCGGCTGTAGATCCTCAAATCATCTCTGAATTGGTGCTGACACTATCCTTTCCTCTGTAGGGTGACTACTTTTGTTCCCCATGGTCCCTGTGTGTTGTAAAGTAGCCACCACCACAAGCTCGCTCCCGTGATGGACTACAATATCACGTTTAGTTTAGTCATTTGTATTGAGATTGTAGACCATCACAGGAGTGACACGAGGACCATGGGAAACAAAAGTAGCCACCCTCAAGAAGGAAGGACAGTGTCAGCACCATTACAGAGATGATGTGAGGTTCTACAGCCTAGTGATACACAAATAATCAACATTTTTGTTAATAGTTGGGGTACTTGAAGGCATTTTTAGGTTTTTACCTCCTGAGTTTTGTGTTACTTTAAAGCTGATATTTTAGTTTGAGTTCTGAATAGTTTTAAGTAGTTGCTTGAAAGTTGAAACACAGGCAGAAGGACTTTGGTGATATGATGTTCCCCCCAGTTCTGCTCTACTTTCAAGGCCAATAAGCCCAAATTATGGAAATACACCTTTGCTGGGTTCTGTGTTGCAATGACCTTGTGGCACGGGTCAGAGAAACTAACTACAGCAGGGAAATATCTCAGTTTCGTTGTTTTCAGCCCACTGATACCCACCCAAATGGAACTATCAATTTTATGATCAATTGGCTTTTAGGATACTCATATATGGATACACATTTATGAACTAATATGTCTGGGATAATGCTGTGTAGTTTGTGTTCATCAGTGAATTTCTCATTGAAATCCCCTTGGAATCAAGCAAAACCAGAAATGTATTATTTTTCAACAAATTTTGGATTTCTTTACTTATTGAAAATGCACAAAAAGCCGAGGCTGCTATCTCTGCATTGACTTCCTCTGGAGGTCAGAGGAGAAAGAAAGTCTTATCTCTCCTCTAGAAGGGCCCTTCATATCTGTTTCTCGTTTTTGGAAACTGCTTAGGCCAGATGAAACACTTCAAGCACCATGTTAGATCCTTGCTGTGTGTCACGTATTAGGAGTCACAGGGGCAGAACCAGTTTTGATCTCAAAGAGCTTTTATTTGTTTCACGGTTGGCGATATACACATTCTCCACAGATGAAAACACTGGAAGGTATAAAAGAGACAACTTTATTTTTGCGGAACCTTTTGGAAAACTGGAACTCTTGTGTTTGATTAGATAAGACTGGGGTTTACGCTGAAGTGCTGTGTGCGGGAGATGCATCTTTTCATGAAAGTAATTGGATTGCTTGCGTTAACACCCAGTGTAGATAAAAAGCCTTACACTTGGCAACCAAAGAGGAAACTGGGAATTCTGGGAAAGCTTTCTGGCTCATGTAATGCACAAGGAAAAAGACTTGGTTGCCTGTAAAAATTGTCTTCTCTCAATTACTGCTCCATGTTACTTAGAACATTTTTGCTTAGGGAGATTTTGTTTGTGTACACAATTTTAATTCATTGATAACCAGTCTTATCATAACTAATGTTCCTCCAATACTTTATTAAAGTGGTTTACTCAATAATTTTGCATTGTTTCTTTTTATACTGACATTTGTTTATTTAATATATGTTAATATATATGTTAATTTAAGCTGGCACAACACGGTGTAGATATATTGCATGTGGAACTAGCATCTAGTGCCTGGAAATGTGTGTAACCACTCTCAGGTATCAGTAAGTAATATCATGCTAGCTTCTAGTGCCTGTTTAAGCCTAGTCTGTGCTGTCAGAATAGTGCCAGCTTCTGCTGCTTATATTGCTGTTTGTATGCCGTCAAGCAATCTGTACAAAAAGGACAAGAACAGGCCAAAAGTGAGAAAACCTGAATAATCAGGTTGACCTCTCAGAGAAATGGCTGTCTAGACTGTAATTGAGGACTTTTCAATTTTTATTAGCAGTCCAGTTCTTTCTGATGGGTAGCAGAAAATGTTGTGCAGCTGCATCTTGATAAAATGAACAGCGAAGGGCACCTGAAGCTCCCTAACCAAAGAGACAATGCATAACAAAAGACACTATCTGAACGTGATTTTAGGGCCCAAAGCAGTTGTCTTAAATGCCTTACTGTTGTACAATTTGTACTCTTTTATGTGCTGTACATGTAATCTGTACCTAGACGTATAACATTTAAGAAATTAAGTACATAAAATTTGAAGTAAAGAAAGCCAGAGACATACAAAATGTTGGTTCCACCAATGGCCTTTTGCATATTTAAGACATGGTTGAATAAGTAAAAAGCTACCATATGTTGCGGTGTTTTGCTGCCTATGTAAGGAGAAATATCAGCCTGTGTGCTCTATTTAACCTACATGTTTTTGTGTTGCTAGTGAAGCTGCCGGGGAGTAGAACCTATATCCACCCACACACATACGAGGATCCCAACCAGGCTGTACGGGACTTTGCCAAAGAGATTGATGTCTCCAACATCCGCATAGAGCGGGTGATAGGTGCAGGTAAGAAAGTACAGCTAATGCAGTTATAGTATAAATTACAATTGTAAATGTGCATGAAGGTAAATTTATCTCAGCTTAGTATTTAAAGTAATTGGCACTGTCATTCTTGAATTACATTTAAGATACATGTAAAGTCAAAACATTCTGTTTTCAGTTTTGAAATGGGTAGGCAATGGTGTAAGTAGTGGTTAAAACCCCTGTCAAGTCTGTCTGTGTACCATTAAGGAGATTTCACTTTACTTACTATCCTGGAGGTACATCAGGGAGCAGGGAGAAATCTCTCTTCCTTAAAGAAAATCTGGAACATCAATCCTCATTAGAAGATTTTCTATTCTCTCCTCCCGTGACAACTCAGAATGTTGGTTTTCCCACACTTTCAGTCCCGGTGACAGTGGTTATCTGGACAAATAAAGAGGGAGACTCCTCAGTGGGATCTTGGAAAGGAACTGCTGCACTCCTTACTGGAACCCCTATGTATAAAGGAGGGTGCTGTAGTAACCATGGATGGCGCTGTGCATCTTTAAATATATGATAAATGTCACCAGCACACCTATGTCTTGTGTCAATAATCCATCTTCTTTATTGATGCAGACTGTCACAAAACAACCTTTCGGGGTCACGCAGGGTCCCCTTCATCAGGTTTTAGTACTTTTCATTCTAAAACCTGATGAAGGGGACCCTGCATGGCCCCGAAACATTGTTTTTTGACAGTCTGCATCAATAAAGAAGATGGATTATTGACACAAGACAAAGGTGTGCTGGTGACATTTATCATGGACTCCTCAGTGGGCACACACACAGCCATAAATACCTTCCCTATCCTACTCTATCCGAAAGAAAACAAATTTGCCTTTAGATACACGTTTCAAAAGCTAGAGAAAGAACTCCAGGCTTTTCAAAAGTCAACCCTTGCAGTGGGGCTTCCCCCGCGCAACAAGGGTTAACAGCTCAATTTGGTCTACGGACAAAATAAAGAAAATTTACTCCCCTGATCCTCGACCCCCACCTGGCTGCCAGACCAGTCAAAGCCTTGCTGATATTCCGTTCCCCAGACCAAAATGACCATTGACCCCACTGCAAGGGTTAACGTTTGAAAATCCTGGATATCTGCTGTACACATAAATGGTAAAGTTTGTATGAAATTAATCTTGCCAGACAAATTGTATCTATCTATCTTTCTATCGGTCAATCTGTCTAAAATATGTTCTGAAAAAATTACCCATGTTGGCAGTGTCTCATACATTTTACTGACCCCAATGCCCTATGCAGAATGAAATGAGTGGCTCCAGTACTATGTAGGTACATTACCTATACAGAATCTGTCAGTACTTATCTTACTACAGCATCAAAATAATTCTGCCAGTGCGTATGAACCAGTGTAATTGCTAGCTTGCCATTGTTATTACCCCAGACAGAATTTATTCAGAGAACACTGGTAAACTTGTGTGTGGTAAGGAAGACAATTTTGTGTAAGGCAATCACTAGCACAATACATTGTGTGACACTCACAAACACTTAGGCAGACACATCTTCATGCCTTGAATTCACATTGTGCTGAGTGATTTTCATTTCTACCTACCTGCATCCAGGCTCAGCTGTTAACATCAATGTGCTTACAACTTCAAGTACTTACAAGGATCCGCTCTTACTTGAATGCCTTGATATCAGCACATTGGAGCCAGCCAATTCAGGCCTAAGCTTCAGTCACTATGCATGCACAGCTCTGGAAACAGCCTTTTAAAATTTGATTGAGCTCAGTCCCGCTATGTCCGAGCTCAACTGCACTTGCAATGGCTGGCTCCAGAACTGCATATTTTCAGTGTTCATTTATCAGCACAGGGAGCTTCTTTTTACTGGCATTTCTTCCTTTCCGCAGGCTTTAATGGACAGGAGGACAACATCCCTTTTTTTTTGCAAATAGTCCATAAATTAATGGATGTGTGGCAACCCTGGCCAATTTCCGTCTACATAGTTTTGCTCCAGAAATGGCTGCATGGCATTTCTTAGGGTGGGCTTCCTGATGGTCACCATTAGTGGACCATCGGAAGGCCATATGACAAGATGACAACATAGGATCGCATCTGGGAAACAAGGACACCCTATAAGAGAAAGTGTCTGAACAAGGACTTTCATAGCAGGGTCACCATGTATCATTTTAAAGAAAGCTGCAGATTTAAAAATACTGAAAATGACTATTGAAATGACTTTAACAGGTTAAAGCTTATATGAGATTTTAGTGCTAGGTTTAAGTATGCTTTAAAGCAGCCAGTTTAAAGACTCCAAGCAAAAAGTAAAATATAAACATCTTCTATCTATCTATCTATCTATCTATCTATCTATCTATCTATCTATCTATCTATCTATCACATCATATTAATTCTTGCTTGACATTGTGACATTTGATGCTTTTGATCTCTAAATCCCCTGCTCCATTAGAAATCCACCTATCAAGTAGCTTCCTACACCAAATCATCCCTCCTCAGAGTGGGCTCAGAGTGGGCTTTTGATCAGCAACATCCCCAATCACATTAGAGTCTTCTTCCCATAGAAGGGTCTTAAGTACCTTTGTAGAGAGTACCGACCTGATTACTGCTGCTCTGTCCATTACCCATTCATTGCCAAGATGTTTCTTCTCATTGAAAAGGGAAAAGAACAAGTCTCAATTCCGTGACTTTGATACTAATAGCTCCCTAATAACATTTTAATGGTAAGGTATCTAAATTCTGCACAGGAAAGCTAAAAGCAGGAAACTTGCCCTCTTGAACACTGTGTACTCTGCAGTATTCAGGGCTGTGGAGAGAGCTGCCTGTAACCAGATTTCTTGCATTGTGCGTAAGAGGCAGTCTAGTGTGTCCGAATAGAAAACTCAAGTGTTTGCCTTATAGTGAGGTGATCATCTGCATACACGCAAAGCTTTTATTGAATGTAGCACATTTTGATAAAGTATAGAAAAAAACATAGTATGTATTGTAGCTCCTGGAGTATTCCATTAACATGGACCTATTACTTCTACATATTCATACAATCCATTAATATATGAAAGGGTATAGCATATAATTAAGTGAGTATCAGTATAACTTTGTACTATAATCAGCATATAATTTTCACATGTCTGCATAATGTTTCCATAACTAGGGCAGGGCTATTAAAGGCAACAAGGGAATGACTGCCCTCAGCAAAACAAACAATGTGATCAGATAACATGTTCTATCAGTAATCAGTGGATGCAAACCAGGGTGCTCAGTGATTCCAACATTTATATAACTATTTAGTATCAGTCCACCAAACCTTTCCAGAGCTATCAAATGTATTCTTTCATCATGGATCCAAAACTTTACAATGTTTTAGACAACGTCATCTCTTCATCGGATTCCTTAACTACTTTATTCACCTATAGAAATGCTAAGTTTACCCAGAACGTTGCAAAGTTTTTGATCCATAATGATTGTATAAATGGTCATTCTTGTTTTTAAAAAGCTTCATAAGGGTAAGGGGTAAATAAGTAAGGGAAGTGAGTAAGCTGTATATGAAATTACATAGACATGAGACAATTGCCAAATGAGTAAGCAGTCATGGATCTTTCCCTATAGAGAATAGGTTGAGAGTGCTATTGAAGGATTCAAGGGTGGGTAGTGCCATGGGAAGGAATTACCAGATGCTGGAGTAAAAGCGAGTGACTAGAGTGAAGGACAAGAGAAGACCATGTGGGGAGATGATGTGGAATTGAGGATGGTATCTGGAAATTAATAAACAAGAACAAAGAAAATCCAAATTGCAGACAGTTTTTAAGTTAGATTTAGAAGTTAAAATTGAACTTCCAGAGTAGATGGCAGTCAGTAGAGGGATAGGTGAGTGGACCAGAATGAGAGGAGTGAGAGGGGAGGTAGATGAGCAGAAAAAGTGTAGACTGAATGGAGTGGGCAAATTATGGTCATCGTAAGGTCAAGCAGTAAAATAATATGCTTTTTAAATACTATTTATTGTCTCTTTAGTTCTGTTATGCCTGTGCCTTACTTCTTGTGCAGGTGAATTCGGAGAGGTATGCAGCGGATGGCTGAAGTTACCCAGCAAAAGGGAGATCTGTGTGGCGATTAAGAGCCTTAAAGTTGGCTATGCTGAAAGACAGAGGAGAGACTTTTTAGGAGAAGCCAGTATCATGGGGCAATTCGATCACCCAAATATTATCCGACTGGAGGGAGTCATCACCAAATGTAAGTGCTGTTTTCCTTTTTGGTGATAAAATACTGTATGTACAAAGCTGACAAACACCCCACAAAGGGCAGTTGCATTTTAAAATAATTGAATCTACTTGACACACATCACCAGAGACAAGTGAGGATCGAACCCTGGAGGGGTTTCCCTGGGGGAAATTATGACTTTTATTGTTGATTTTAGAATATAAGATATAATTTGTTATTGCAGCAAAAAAACAAAAAAACGGGAGGAACCATTGGCTCAACAAAAAGGCCCTTTCATGTCAGGGACAGATTTCTGTGGTCTTAAGAATGTATACTATGCCAAGTGTGTCCTGGTGCCGCAGCGACATAATGAAAGGTGGGTGTTCCTAAAGTACATGGTTTATTGGGACACACATTTTCACATCCTGCAGTGTCAGTTTCCTTTGCAACTCTCAGCTTTATGGAACATGGCTTCTCAGAGCTGCAAAAGACATTGGTGCTAAGGGCCTACCCTCTCCAGGGTGGTGTGCTTGCTGGCCTGAATGAAGGGTAGTTATATAATGCTTACCAAGTGTCACTGACTACTCTGCTTAGTGGCTAAATGGTAAGGTATCTGCACTCAGGGGCCCTAGCCCAAAATATATATCAGGGGAAAATGCCCCCAGCCCAGTCCTCCCCTGACCCTAAGATTGTCTAATGTCTTAGAAAATGTTTGAGGGAATAAGCATTGATGAAAACTCTTTCTCTGAGAAGAAAAAGGAAGTGCAGGTTGAGCCATAGAGATGATCGTTACAAGGATGCTTTTAGAATTGGCAGGTGTCAACCGTCCATCATTCTGGGGGAAACATCTGTCTGTCTAAGGGCAGATTACTATTATTGCCACCCATTACACAATTACAGTAATCATTGAAATATTTTTCCCCTTAGCTTTGTGAATGTCTCTGAGAATAAACACCTCCACATGCCGTGAAAGTCTAAAAGCCTCCTTGATTAAAGAGTCAAGACTCATATCACTTTATTGATGTTTCTATGATCAGAGCAATCCACATAACTAGAGAAGCTCTACAGAATAATGAAGGGGGCTGTTTAGTTGTATTAGAACTGTGAAAGGAGCAGATGCATCCAGAGAGTTATGGTTATATTTTATTTCCTGAGCATAACAACAGCCGACTCTATACAGCAGTATACTCACAGTGATACATGAAAATTTTACATTCACACTCCCTCAGGGCAAACAGCCTAGCTGCCGCCTGGCCCTAATTTTCACTACGCTTCACTTAGCGTTCTGCCATACTCAGTAATTGCTACCTGTATGCTTATTTCTTCAATCAGAGGCGTAACTAGTGACCACAGGGCCCCGATGCAAGAATCCATGAAGGGCCCCCCAAGAAGAAAAAAAATAGATACTTTTTTTTTTTTAAACAGAAATTTTAGAAAGAAAAAAAAACACTCTCCTCTTTCATGTCCCCAGCTTCCCCTCATCCCCCCTTCACGTCCACAGCTTTCCGCTGCCAGACCCCATGTCACCTTCATAGTCCCAGCTCCCTACATCTCCTCCTTCGTGTCCGCAGCAGCTCGGCAGCGTTCTGTGTGATGAGGGGGCGGGGATAACACCGCTTCCTACTCATTGGCTGCTGCGCCGGCTGGATACTTCACGCTGCGCCCGAAACAAGCAAGACACATCTGCTGCTGTCCTATCCCCCCCGACCCAGCCTTCTTACTTACCTTTACACTCCAGCAGCAGCCTCCAACGCTCCCGCCTTGATCTTCTTCACCTCCGCCCACTAATAAGAAAGCTCCGCCCCCAGAAAAGAAAAAACCTTCCTGCACATGAACAGGAAGGTACCAAAATATCACAATTGTACAGGGTGGTCAGGGGCGGGAACGTACCAACTAACTTCACATGTAATGTACGGCCGCGGCGGACCCTGCAAGCACCTTTCACGGACACCGGTGTCCGTGTACGGACACCTTGCCGATCCATGGGGGGGCCCTCTTCTTCCTCGCTGGGCCCCCCCCAGCAGGCGGACTGCCAGGGCCCGGTCGCAATTGCGACCGCTGCGACCCTGGTAGTTCCGCCAGTGTCTTCAATAGTTTACAATCAAAGCCTGCAAAAATGCAAGCCAGTTGTTCGCAGACTCTGAACGCCGCCTCTCTTCATCTATCAGAGGGCCAGTTACACAGCACAAAATCCGTAAACTCTGTTTAAAGGTTAATCGAGTGGGCAGTCTGATCTTTCAGCATTTCCTGGATTGCAGTTTACTGATTTATTTTACTTGTTGCCTGAAGATGTTCTTTAATGCAATATAACCAGAAAACTAGAAAGTGTCACATACCCAGTGATCAGCTATTGCTTTGTGAAAATACATTCTAATGATTTCCTGCAGGGACAGAATGGTAAGCTCAATGGACCCCATGTTTATCTTTGCCTCAGGCTGTAATGTGTCTTGTGACATTCGTGACCTAGAGGGGTGCAGAACTTATAAAACCACTAACGGGGTTAAAATAAATTCCAGGGAAGAATATTTTTAAGAGACTTTCCAGATGATTAGGGTGCAATTTTACATTGCCGGGGGCCGCTGTATATTGTTGGCAGTAGGGTGGAGGATATGAATTTACATAAAGGCTGTGTAGAAGTAATGGTTGGAATATAAATCAAAGCGCATTCAGACATACTAGAGCAGAGAAATTGAGGAGTTAAACACACCAACTACTCCAATCCCAACTGTTATTTTTCAAGAGCAGATTGTAATTAAAAGGTGCATTTTAGTAAGTTGTTTATGGAAAGTTGTTCCTTTTTCTTGTAAAAATTGGGTGTCACGGTTGATCACAGCCGAATAACTCAAGTAAACCAAATTTTACAATGAGGCCTACAGCCAATTACCAATTAGGAATAAAGTGGCGATAAACCACTTTGTAAATGTTTATTTTTCTTCCCTAATGTGCAAATATGCACAGCATACTTGCACATTAGGGCACATGTATCTTACAAGTGTGCCCTTGTCAAAGGCTGTCAGGTCAATCTTCACTCCCCAGCTCTGTCCCCCGCCGCCGCCGCCATCTCTGTCACCAACACTTTCGGGTTCTCAAAAGTCCTCTAGGGCCATTGGGCGGTCACTGCTGATGTAACTCCTGTGCATCCTATCGGGCACCTGGCTCATACATGGCATCTTAGAATGGGCTTAGTGTGTAAACTGCATGGTGCATGTACACAGAAAATAAAAATTGCTGGGGGAGAGCGGATAAAAATTTTTGGCAGAAGAGATTTTTCATGCCAAAAATCCATACCTTCCAGCAGAGGCGTAACTAGAAACCACAGGGCCCGGGTGCAAGAAACCATGAAGGGCCCCCCCTGTTGCGGAGCTGTATTTCCTGGAGGCAATGTCGGTGCCTCGGCGGTTACTGGGCCCTCATTTCCTCCCCCCCGTGCCTGCGACCCTGGGGTATAACAATGGTCTTTGTACACCGCCCCCCACATAAATCACCCAGGGAACTACAAGTTCCAGCATGCAAGCCCCCTGCAGTAGTTCCCTGCGTGATATTTGAGAGTTGTACAGGGACAGTGAGTGCATGCTGGGACTTGTAGTTCCCTGTATGATAGAAGGTTGTTTTAATTACTTTCCTCATGAAAATACTAGTAATACAATACCATTATAGTACCGTAACTTTTGAATTCAACTATATTCTATTCTATGTTTCTATAATGGCATTGTGCTACTAGTACTTTCATGAGGACAGTAATTAAAACAACCTTCTATTATACAGGGAACTACAAGTCCCAGCTGAACTGCCGACTTGTAGTTTCCTAGTAATAAAATGCCATTATAGAACATGTAATAGAATATAGTCAATTTCAGCCATGTTCTATTCCATGTTCTATAGCTTGAACAGGAGGCTGTAAAATAACATACCAGCGTGAGGGACAGCGGCCGGGAACATTGAGGCGATTCTCTGTATCAGGTGGGTGCTGCTGGGTCCTCGCGGCTGAGGGCCCTGTGCTGCCCCAGTATTTGCCTGCATTTCTGGCTAGTTGTTTTCTCTGCCCGGCCCGCCCGCTGGTCACTGAGGCAGCCGCACCATCGCCCCTGTTTATTATACTACTGCCGGGGCCCCCCCAAGGGGCGGAACGCCAGGGCCCGGTCGCATATGCAACCGCTGCGACCCTGGTAGTTCTGCCAGTGCCTTCAAGCAATTGTTTTTATTTTTTTCACTTTGCTTCCACTTTAATCATAGGACAAAATGTATTATTTAATCACCTCAGTTGAAATGATTAAAATAAGGCGATTACCAATGGATTAGTCGTTGGATGTTTTTTTTTTCATGTTAAAGGGAGATTATACCATGCTATTTTTAAACAATATAAAATTTATAGAATCCCCACATGGTGGTAAATATGCTATTACCCAAATGATACTATATGATAATGCACATTGAAATACACATCGCCATATTGTATTTGTATCTGTAGTTTTGCTGCTGTATAAGTGAAGTGTTTGAAGTGAAAGTACAGACAAATAAAATATTTTAAATGCTTACTACAGTGTTTTATCATTCCATAAAGTATCTTTTATTCACTTGCAATGTGCTCCCTCTGTACTTGTGGGCTGCTTGGATGTAATCACTGCAGGTCTAATGGAGCCCAGCCCTGAGGTCATGTCTCCGCTTCTCTCTCCTTCTGGGTTGTGTGTGTTATGTGAATGGCCTGCAGGAGAAGGGGGCAGAGACGCAACTGCAGAACCGGAGTCTACCTGCAGTGCTTATATATGCGCAACAAGCAGGGACTTCTAGTCCTCTTGCATGGAATCATATTGTAATTGTACTGTCTCCCAATATTTTGTAAAGTACTGTGCAAATTGTGGGTTCTATATAGAAATGTGCGATTTGTTTCGTTCTGAACTGAAATTCAGACAAATTTTCGGAAATTCGTACATTTCAATGAATCTGAACGAATTGCGAATTTTTGATAACTAAAATTTCGGATGCATCCAAATTTCTTTCCCGAATGAACTTTTATTGTTCAACATCAGCTTTAA